AAATATTTTTTCCATTCATATATACCCGCATTTAATTTCAGAAACTTCAACGCGTCTTCCATAAATCGCATGTTGAGAAACTAGATGTGGGGGGAAAAAACCAAAGCACATGCCATAAAAAGATAAGTGTGTGATGAATACTAGACTATGAAAAGAAAAGAATAGAAAATGAATGCATTTATTTAGAAACATAAATATCAATACAAAATATTACATCTGTAAAATGACGAATAGTGTAATTTATTTTCTAAATCTCTTATCAATGCATCGATTGAATCAGACATCTCTTTTGATTTTTTTAGTTTTGTTGACTGTCTTATAAAAACAAGACCATGTGATCTACAAACAGTAATCCAGATCATGCCAACCCCATCTTGAAGCAACAACATCCGAGATTAAAGTGGAGAGATCTATGCGAATTTTTGTACCGAAGCGTGAATAAATAAATTTAATCAATTAACTAAAGTAATTGTACTTAAAAATTCATAATAGGCTGAGATCTTTTTTCTATTTTTTTCCAGACTAACACTGTTAGCTATTCTTTTGAAAAAAAAAATAAGTTTTCAATTTGAGAAGTTTGCGGAGCCAGGAGAAGACTTGGCCGAACTGGATAGGGTTTAACTTGTTTAATTACAAGTATTTACACTGTGCTCATATTGTTTATTATTAAAGGAACAGATTGAACCTAACACGTTTTACAAAGTCAAATACAAAGTATGTATTGATAATTTAGTTTAGGTGTCAGATACAAATTTACTTCCAGAATTTTCATTCATGAACCCTGGATCTCAGAAATTCTTGTTGGGTTTTATATGACCCCAAAAATTTTAACTCATAATAAATTCCGTTTCCCATTGTTAAAAATATTTTAACGGTTAATATCATAGTTTTTTACTTGTAAAGAGTAAACTTTCGGATGCCCTCTGACTTGTAAGTGAAAACTTTTAATAAATTTGTATCTTAACCCTTTAGTTTAATTCAAGTAATTAGCTGTCAGCATAACTATGAATAGTAATAAATAAAATGAAAATAATTGAATAACTATTTTCATCAACAATTGTGTGAAGCACGATTTTTTTTTTCCTTTAAGCAAAACACATACCGATTTTGTTGTGTTATCTTTTATTGGCCAGATTTTTGTTTTGTTATCTTGGAGCTGACTACTTTGATTTTAATAAATTTATAAGTGAAATTATTTGAGTTTGGTATACGTACTCAATGATACACTATTTGAATTTGTTAAGCATCACATATCTAAAACTAATTGGGCGAATGATGGATTCTATACATGTTAAATAAAATATTAATGTAACATCAAATATTAATGTAATATTAATGATACACATACCGATTTTGTTGTGTTATCTTTTATTGGCCAGATTTTTGTTTTGTTATCTTGGAGCTGACTACTTTGATTTTAATAAATTTATAAGTGAAATTATTTGAGTTTGGTATACGTACTCAATGATACACTATTTGAATTTGTTAAGCATCACATATCTAAAACTAATTGGGCGAATGATGGATTCTATACATGTTAAATAAAATATTAATGTAACATTAAAATACATAAAATTATTCCAATTAAGAATGAAAAACTAATGAGGTGTAAATGGATAGCGACAATTAAACAAAGGAAGAGAATTCATGAATTCAAACAAATGTCGGACCATGTGTTTCTTGCTAGTTGACATCTTTTCTGAAGGCCACAACACAAACTTTGTTCAATAACGTAAGAGATTTGCATTCTAAGCAGTAGATGAAGTTCATTTGACGCTAACTAATTTCTTCGACCCAATATGTTTTTAATTATTAAAATTATATTCTGTACATATCTTATGTCTGATCTTTGAGATATATCAAATGTCCATGGTTGAATATGCATACGTCTGACGATTAATAATTCCCGCTTTAGCAGTTTAATTGAAACACAAGAATTCAACCCCTTAAAGTTTTCAACAGCCATTTGTCGATCGGTGCTCAATTAAAAGGATACATTAATTTAACAATATGAGCTAGTAAGTGATATACTGATATGAGTCAAAATTTTTATTGAATAAGAAATTTTATATACATCTTTTAAATTTAAGGGTCCAGTTAATGGATCTCTTGATTGAGATTTGAGGGTCTTAATCAATTACACATTAAGCAGTGAATCTAACATATCTTGAATTTTTATATCATAAAGTTTAAATTTTATAGTTTAAGGGAAAAATGCATAATAAGAAATATTTTAAAGCTACCAAATAATACGAAATTTGGGGGAAATTTGTGCTGGATTTTGTGACAAAGTTAGCACAGATCAATCCATCATATATTTCGTGACGGAAACATTTTTTGTGACAGGATTTTATCATTTTTCATGGCAAATTCCTTACAATAATTATTTTCTGCGATGGATTTAATTTGCAACGAATTTTAATTTCTCATAAATCCGTCATAAACTTTCTATTTTTTTTTTAGTGAAAAAGTATTCCAAAGCAGCAAGGTATTAAGAAGGTTAACATCTAAATCATTTAAATCAAATTTGAATAAAACTCAGTTAGTTAAAAGCGTTATATCATATGTGAAATTGTTGTTGCATCGTGTTTCCACGAGGACCAAAGAGCCAAATAGTGCTAATAAATGAACAAAAATACAAACGTATGCACTAGTCTTACGTAACAAAGAGTTTATAGTCAATTTCATAAATGGTTGGGTCGCTGAAAACGTGACGTTAGGAACCTCCAAACTGACGTTTTCCCCGAAATATATAGAAACCCAAAGAATCGTTATACTTCCTTGATTCACATAGATCGCCAAATTATTAGAGATTGATATTTCATTCTTATTTTTTATATATATTTTTTTTGATAAACTAAATAACTATACTTCTTTACTTTCAAATTAATGTAACCTTTTTTTTTACACACAATGTACGATTTTTCTCTTGTTGGGGAGAAGTTTCAGATCAGATGATGGATATAAATAGATAGATAGAATATTTTGAACAATATTTTTTTTTCAACATATTTTGAGTAATATTCTAACTATGTTGGTCTGTTTGTTTATGTTAATTATATTTCAGTATAATTTCAAGAGTGAAAAGGTAAAAAAGAAGGTTGAATTTGGGGGCCGGCTCTCCCCCTCCCATGTAGAAACAGTATAAAATGTAACAACGATAAAATAGGACGATTATTTTTTAAATAAAATGAGCGAAAAATGTACAATTTGATGGCATTTTTCTTAAAAAAAACAACCATAACAAAATTATATTATCTTATGATTGTATATTGATGAGAAAGGGCTATTGATCAAGCGCCTAACGGCCAACTAACGCTGAACATCAAACCAACAATAAGAGATGATTATGTTTTTCTCACGACAATGGAATAAGATTAATTCGAATGATTATCACTACAAAAAAATAGACTTTAGGCGGCGACAAAAAAAGTTGCCGCTGAAAGTGGACTTTCAGTGGCGACACCAAAAAGTCGCCGCTGAAAGTGGACCTTCAGTGGCGACTTTTTTTGTCGCGCGCCGAAAGTGGACTTTCAGCGGCGACTTTTTTAGTCGCCGTTGAAAGTTCGCCATTGAAACCAAGACTTTTAGCGGCGACAAAAGTGTCGCCGCTGAAAGTATAATATAATAATATATATTTTATTTTACAATATTAATAAACAAATTCAATCTGGCTCAGTGGCAAGAAGGTTGGACACGAAAGGAGGCAGTCACGAGTTTGAACCTGGAAGAAGACACATTTAAGGTGAAAATATTTAGACGATGACGTGGCGAGGAGGAGTGACATGGCAATGACGTGGAGGTGGCTATTGATGATGTGGTGGTCGGCGGTGATGACGTGGCCGCCGATGGCGATGACGTGGAGGTCGACGGTGATGACGTGACGGCCGGAGACGATGACGTGGCACCGGCGGTGATGATGTGGCATTAGTAAAGTCAATTCTTCTTAGGCATTACTTTCAGCGGCGACAAAAAAGTTGCCGCTGAAAGTGTTTTCAGTGGCGACATTTATCACCGCTGAAATTTCTAAAAGTCGCCGCTGAAAGTATCTTTTAACAGTAACATTTTTAGTCGCCACTGAAAGTTTTCAGCCACGGCTGCTACGGCAACGACTTTTCAGCGGCGACAAAAAAGTCAATTTTTTTTGTAGTGTATAATGAGCACTCTATGGTCATCTTTTTAATCAATATGTGAAATGTGATCCGAGAAGGCTATACCTTCAACAAAAGCCAAAAAGAGAAACAAAAATCCATTGGCCGCCTGCCCTGAATCGTTCCATTTTACTCCCTATATGGAACCAGTTTCAGTGCTCATCACCTTAATGAGCACTCCAAGCTCATTAGATTTGAACTATCTATATCTAATTTGAATAGTGCAGAATTAAGATTTTTAATTAATTATTTTTAAGTAAAAAAATCATTTTTTTAAAAGAATGATAACTAAGATACTATCTCTATTTGAGATTATATATATTAAAATAATTATTTTGAACAAATAAAAAAATAGATCTAGACAATTCAAATAAGATATAAACCATCCAAATCTGATGAGCCTATAGAGTGCTCATCAAAGTGATGAGGCCCAAACTAGTTCCTCCCTAGATATGGTCACACCCTGTAGAAAAAAAAAAAATGGTTCTTTTTATAAGATGTTATGATAGTTTTAAGGAGCATTAAATATTTGTTTCCATTTATGTCTAAATTTAATGAGGGTAGTAAGAGTGTAGAAATCATATTAAAATTTAATGTAGTTAATGAAAATAATATTAAAAATAAATTAAATTTTATAATCAATTTAATATTTTTAACTGTTTTTATTAGTATATATAGCAATCACTTATAATGTGGTAATAGGTACTAGAGGGAGTAACTCGAAATTTTAAGTGTTCTGTTTAGTATACACACATGGCCCCCATATACATTTCAACGCCCCTCGTCCTTCATTAGTGATTCTTGTCTCTGTCTATATATAATCCATAACTATCGTATCCCTTCCCCAGTCCTCATTGATATCACAAGAAAGACCTCTCTCTCTCTCTCTCTCTCATGGCTTCTCTTTCCAACGGCCACCCCTCCATGGATGTCAAGTTCAGGCGGCTCTTCATCGACGGACAATTCGTTGATTCCGTCTCAGGTTTGTTGCATCATTCCTTCTTTTTCTCCTCTCTTCCTTAATTAATTACCCGCTGCTAGCTGTTGGAAACTGGTTTGAGGCTTTGAGGGCAATGAAACAGAGAAGACGTTCGAGACGATAGATCCCAGAACAGGTGACGTCATCGCCGCCGTCGCCGAAGGCACCAAGGAGGATATTGACGCCGCCGTTCAAGCTGCCCGTCACGCCTTTGACTCCGGCCCCTGGCCTCGCATGTCCGGTTCTGTATGTTTCTCCTTCTCCACTGCCTCTCTCTCTCTTTTTTTCTTTTTGTTTAAGAGGAAAACTGAACTTGCTCAAGATATATTTTATTGACAAGAATAACACCATGATAATTATATTATTTATTTCTCAATTATTCTTCAATATTTATTAGTAAACGGAGGTGATGCATACTTTTTGATCTATAGAGCACCAAGGCTGATTTTTAAACTAGGAAATTAAGAAATTAATTAGAAGAATAATTTAAAATGGGTAGAAAAAATGATTTGATGGCGCCAGGCGCGCTACCTTGAGGTGGAAGCCACCAAATGAGACTCAGAAACCAAGGCGTCTGACGAACCGTCCGTATGTGGTAGTTTGTGGCAAGCATTACGCAGAACCAATTTGGGAAGTCAACTCATTTATTGGTCAACATCCATCTTTGGCCCCCCCCAGCCCAAAAAAAAAATTTTGAGCTTATCGAGTCATTTTCATTTTCTAAGTTGCGAACCTCATGCGTCGTTGATATTTATGCTCTGGAAACTCAAGCCGGCTACGTCCTCACTTCTCAATTATTTTCAATATTTCAATGCTTTACTCCATCGTAGTACACATATTACAAATGTCTTCATTTACCATAGCCATATATATGTGAAATCTAAAACTAGTTTAGGTGGTTTACATTTATATTTGACGTTTTAAAATATGATTTATTAAATAATAACTCTATTGTTTTAAATACTAACAGCTATATGGCATTATTTTAATTTTAATTGTAAATCTATCAAAATATAACTTAAATTAAATTAAATCTAGATAGTTGAAAAATTCAGTCTGAACATACAGTCTGAGCATCCTTTGAAATCTTCCTGGTGCTAGACGTTTGAATATCTCGAAATCGATCGTAGGACGTTTCAGTTCCTTCATATATAATAACGAAGCTCCTCGAGTCTTGCTACATCCAAGCTTAAATATCGGGTCAACACTTTACAAAATATCTTAATCTCTCTTTCATCCCCGCAGTACATCTTGACTCACGAACCCAGTCAAGTCGGAAACGCATCCTTTCAAGTTGAAAGTCCGTGAATTTCACAATTTTTTTAAGGAAAAAAATGGAGAACGAAAATTTTATATTTCTAAAAAATTAATAATATAGTGAAAAAAATGAAAAAAAGAAGAAGAAGAGAAAATTGTATAGAAATTCATGGATCTCAACTCAGGAACAGGATTAGCTTCGGTCAGGCCAACCCTTTATTTGTCCATTAAAAAACTTTAAATTCAGCGATTAAATTTTTCATGTGAACGGTCCACATGTTATCAAATATATAATATATAAAGAAAGCATGTTCTATAACGACACAAGACACAGATATGAGTACGTTTTTTTTTTTTAAAAAAAAAAAAAAGGTCAAATTTTGTAGATGGGTTTTGTTGTTTTTTGTTGCTGTTACTTTATAGTAAAACGTGTGATGGTGTGTGAATATTCAGGAGAGAGGAAGAATATTGATGAAATGGGCAGATTTGATAGACCAAAATGCAGAAGAACTAGCAACACTAGACGCCATGGACGCAGGAAAACTATACCAGTGGTGTAAGATGGAGGTTCCTTCTGTTGCAAATCTGCTACGTTACTATGCCGGTGCTGCTGATAAAATCCATGGAGAGGTACTGAAGATGTCAGGCAATTTCCAGGCTTACACTTTGCTGGAACCCATTGGTGTGGTGGGTCACATCATTCCCTGGAACTTCCCCAGCACCATGTTCTTCATCAAGGTCAGCCCTTCTTTGGCCGCCGGCTGCACCATGGTCGTCAAACCTGCCGAGCAAACTCCTCTCTCTGCTCTCTTCTACGCTCATCTCGCTAAGCTGGTATATCTTCGCACGCAAACCATGTTACTTTCTCTTCTCTAAATATGTCTTATGGTCTCAACACATTAATTAACATTGTTCTGACTTGTACTTTTAATTTGTTCGTGGATTCAATAACTGGGTTTGGCTGATTTTTAATTTGACAGGCTGGAATACCAGATGGTGTGCTTAATGTTGTACCCGGGTTTGGCAAAATTGCTGGTGCTGCTTTAACCTCGCATATGGACGTTGATAAGGTAAATGGCACGTCAAGAATTTAATTTGGGGTTTTACCTGATTAATTTGGATGATATAGAACAGGGCTTACAGCTGATCGAACTTGCTTTGTTGGTGTGTTGTTGTAGGTTAGCTTTACTGGTTCAACGCAAACAGGGCGGGAAGTGATGCAGGCTGCGGCTAAGAGTAATCTGAAACAAGTTTCACTGGAACTAGGAGGCAAATCACCCGTCATTATATTCGATGATGCTGATGTGGACAGAGCTGCGGAACTTGCACTCATAGGAATCCTTTTTAACAAGGTCAAATAGCTTCCCATCAGATTAATCATATTCCCGAAGTGATGATTATGTCACATCATTTCTTGGCTTGAACTTTCCGCAGGGAGAAGTCTGCGTTGCAGGCTCTCGTGTGTTTGTTCAAGAAGGCATATATGATGAATTTGAGAAGAAGTTGGTGGAGAAGGCAAAAGCTTGGGTAATTGGAGACCCTTTTGATCCTAAAGTTCAGCAAGGTCCTCAGGTAATAATTAAGCAACAAGCTTATTCATAAATTAAATATGCACTCACTAGCTAACTGTACATATATAACAGACATATCGATTGATCATCCTCATATATGCATGATTACATGCTTTAGCTTGTATGAAACTGTAGGTTGACAAGAGGCAGTTTGAAAAGATATTGTCGTACATAGAGCACGGTAAGAGAGAAGGGGCCATCCTGTTGACTGGGGGTAAAGCAGTGGGCAACAAGGGATACTACATTGAACCTACAGTGTTCACTAACGTTAAGGTAATAATAATTAAGATCCAAGAAGTAGTCAACTTCATAAGAGCTTCAAAATCTCAGCTCTGCGCTATAGCATATATAATAACAACAACTGACATATTCATTACGCAGGAGGACATGCTGATAGCAAAAGATGAAATATTTGGTCCTGTGATGGCACTAACGAAGTTCAAGTGAGTTAAAATACTTGCTATTCAATTTTAAGGTGTTGATTAATTGGTCCTATCAGATTAATGATGAATATATGTGTATTATACGTAACAGAACAATGGAGGAAGCAATAAAGAGTGCGAACAACACAAAATATGGGCTAGCGGCAGGCATAGTGACGAAGAACATTGATATAGCAAACACAGTTTCGAGATCCATAAGAGCAGGAATCATTTGGATCAACTGCTATTTTACATTTGAGAATGATGTTCCCTTCGGAGGGTACAAGATGAGTGGGTTTGGGAAAGATTTTGGAATGGAAGCCCTTCACAAGTATCTGCAAGTTAAATCTGTTGTCACTCCTATCTACAACTCTCCATGGCTCTAAAATGCCAAATTCTCTTGTGTGGCTTTTCATTTGTATGACGGTTTCTAGAGTTTCATCATCAATAACGCAGCATCATGCTGTGCCTATATACGTAAATGAAAATTTGTACACCTTTGTGTTCATAATAAGAAAAGCATATATGATGATTCGGTTGATTCGTTTTTAAAGCACTTGAATAATACTCCTTCGATCCTAAATATAAGACCCTTATATACAGTAATATAAGGGTCTTATATTTAGAATCGGAAGAGTAGTTTTGAATATATTATAAGTAGAGAGAGACGACTGAAAAATTTTAAAACAATTTATTCTGTTGGTTGTGTAAATTACTGTCATAAAACTCATAATCCTTGAGTGAGGTGATGGCGGTTGTTGATCTTCTATAATGGATGAGGGGGCCGATCCTAATTGAAAGACGTTAACATTGATTTGATGAAGATTCGAGAACTGCTCAGAGGCCTTTCTTTCCCTTTCAAGTCACCCGCTCATAGGCTATGGCATGGACCAATTTTGGGTCCAATATGATTACAAACGGATGGAAACTTGCGAGTATAATATATTAATCCCCCACCGTTGAATTGCTTAGAGAGTTAAAATTTCAAACATTGCTTAATGAAATAAATAAAAATTATTTATTTTAAATTTTTAATTCTCTCAACTTTTTATAAAGGCATTTTTAAAAAATAGTTATTTGGTCACTGTTAGTTTATGCCATAAATTAAAATCTTTAAAAAATTTTGAGTAATTATTTATTTATTTCAAACCTAAAAAATATTTTGATTATCATTTAAAATAATTAAGAAAAAATAGCAAAAAAGACCTTCAAAATAAAAAAATTGCAAATAGGGACCCATTATAATATTAGTATGGATTTTGACAATAATTAATAAGCAAATGACAATAATTTTTGTAAATAGGTCCCTATATGTATTTTTTAATTTTCAAGGTCTTTTTTTATGATTTTTCCAATAATTAATGTATGATAATTTTGATAGGATGAATTTTCAACATGTAAGTTACAGTGTTCCGTTAAAATAAAGCATATGTCTTCAAATTAGAAGCTCATGTGCTCAACGTCTTAGTCCTTTTGTGCTTTTTCCACGTGGAGGAATCAAATGACCTTATAAATAAAACAAAAGGAAGAGGACATTTAATTATAAACAGCTGTTTCTTCAGCATAATTCGACCCCTCTTGTGCTTATTTATTTAAATTTTCATGTACATATCACTGATTTTATATACATCTATCTTTATTACTCTCTCAGGTTCTAAATATAAGACTTATTTTATAATGTAAATTACACTAAAAAATGAGTTTTATGTTTAGAATAGAAAAAGTATTTTTTGTGGCAGCGAAGATGTTATACAACATCTATCGCGGCCTTTTATTATAAGCCAAAAACAATTAATTTTTTAAATATCAAGACTCAAGTTGATCGAAGGAGCACTTAAATTATTGATCACAAGTCACAACAAAGAAACTTTTGTTCTCTTCTCTAACATGCGGAATCCTTCAAAATTTTTAATGGGACGAAAATAAAGTCTGATCGAGACGCTTCGAGATCTGTCACAAATCGCATATTCAAAAGCTAAGTTTTAACAGGAAAAATATACACCATAAAATTTATATATAAAATCTTAAAACTAAAGAGGAACGAAAATGAACATATTTAATTAAATACATCAATTTCAATATTCCTCCCATCCTTTTTAGTTAAAATTAGTTTAAAACAATAAACATGTAAAAATTGAACTTTTTTTAAGTATGTTCTTATTTAATAAATAAAGGAACAAATAAGAAAGAAATACTACTAGTAATGAGATAAAGGAAGAAAGGTACTGCAGTATGAGCAAAAGATAAAAGAAAAAAAATAAAAAAAAATAAGGGGTAAAACTGGTAAATATGTATTTAATGTTTAGACAACTCTAAGTAGGATTTTATTAAAAAAAAAACAATTTAAACCAATTATAAAAATTACATAATGCCAATATGTTTTTCTTACCGAACTCAAGAAGAGATTAAAAAAAAGTTCTGTTGATTTATTTTTGAGATCATATTTGATTATGTTAGAGATAACATGAGATCATATCAAATTAACTGGTCAAAAGATCGTGTGTGTGTGTTTGTGTTAGTTTTTAACGCAACTTTGATTTTTGCAAACTTGAAAATTCAGCTGCAGAGTAAATGTCGCAAACTTACAAATATATTATAATTTTCGAAGAATTTTTATCATTAAGTTTAAAAAACTTATAACTGGGCTTACAGAATTTTTATTTACCTTGAACCTAATAAATTTTCATAATTCACAACTAGGTTACGTACATACGTTGGCAACCATGTGATGTGAAGGCAATATTTTATCATTCATTCATTCATTGTTTTTAAATATTTGTGGCCAGTCCTTCATTTCGCAAATATTCTGTGTCCATATTCAAGCCTGCGGATATACTGTGCCAAACCACAGTGAAGTTGAACCACAGAGGGACGCTGATCCGATCCCCTCAACTTCTTCGATTCCCTGTTTGTGTGTCTCTCATGGCTTCTCTCTCCAATGGCCACTCCACCTCTCCCCCCAATCCTAATCCTCCCTCCGTCCACATCAAGTTCACGCAGCTCTTCATCAATGGCAGCTTCGTTGATTCCCTCTCTGGTAATCTGCTACTCAACATTTCCTCTCTTCCTTCCTTTCCCATATATCCCTTTTTTCCTTCATATTGATTCCTGCTTCTCGGTAGCAGGGAAGACTTTCGAGACGATAGATCCGAGAACAGGGGAGGTCATCGCCACCGTCGCCCAAGGCGGCAGAGATGATATAGACGTCGCCGTGAAAGCTGCTCGCCAAGCATTTGACTTCGGCCCATGGCCTCGCATGCCCGGCTCTGTATGTTACTTGTCTCTTTTACTTTCTCGTGTTCTCAGCTAGGATGTGGCCCGGCCTGGAGGGAATCCCGTGTGTGCAGGACAGGGCAAGGAACGAAGTATGACGCCTCATAGTGGGTCCCACCTGATTTGCGGTCCCCACTCCCTGCAAATTCTTCTTCCTTTTAGTAATAATTTTTGAGTTAAAGTACTTCCAGTATCCCCAACTATTTACCCAGGTATGTCCAATGGCTTAAAGTAATTTTGGGTGTATCCAGTGTCCTAAACTAATTAAATGATGATCCATATCCTAGGCTAACAGAAATGTTATGTTTAACTGTTACTTTCCTGACTCAACTTAAAGTTGACCCCAGATATTCTACATGGTAGACACAAGGGCACCCGATGTGTATTATTCTACTCAAAAGTCAATTTATTTAGAAGAAGAGGAAGGAAATAAATTCAATTTTGAGTAAGAATAATACATATCAAATGTCCATATGTCTACCATTTAGAATATCTAGGGTCAACTTTAAGCTGAGTCAGGAAAGTAACAGTTAACATAACATTTCTGTTAGCCTGGGATATGGACGTATCATTTTAATTAGTTTAGGATACTGGGCGCACCCAAAATTACTTTAGGCCACTGGACGTATCTGAGTAAATAATTCAGAGTGCTGGGCGCACCTTAGCCCATAATTTTTTTCTTAGAACTTCATTATAATTCTCCCAAATATTATTATTTTGGAGAGTTTTCTTCCGCACATCTTTTTCATCCTGATTTTCTTCCCATGTAATTACAGGGTAAATTTTTTTTGGGGACCAAAAACAGGGTAAATGAACTCAATCACTATTACATTATATTAGACTAGTTTAGAAAAACACAAATTAAAGTTTATAATAACTTTTAAATATTACTTTCGATCTTAATATAAGAGTTCATTTAACTTTTATTTTAGTCCTAAATATAATACTCCAATCCACTTTGTTTATTATATTTATCTATTTTTTTAAAAGTAGTCTTTGTGATAATAATAGTTCTAGTCAATACACTTGGTCAATAGAGATATTTTAGGAAAGACAATATCTACTTATTACAAATAATTAACTTAACTAGTTTTTTAATCTACTCAAATTATTCAACTAGCTTTAATAACCGAAGGTAGTATTATATATATTTAATCATACTTTAACACTCATAATATCTTTCAATGGGACCAACAATTATATGTAATAAGTCCTTAATAATAATACATAAGAGTTGCTTAACCAATTTGTATAGATGAAGAAAGTTAATAAATTTTCAATCCAAAAAAAGAGAAGCTAAATTAATTATCCATGTATAATATTTGATCATATAGGAGTAACAATTTATAAATTAGATAAATTGGTTTGAAAAAAATAAATATGAAAAATAAAAATAGACTAAACTCCTACATTTAATCTATCAAAAAAATTCTAAACATTTAAAACCAAAATCAATTCCATAACTAATTTTTATATTTTTGACAAGAGGAATATTATTAATAAATTTTAAATAATACAACACTTTTTAGATTTTCTATAATGCATGAGAAATTTTTTTTTTTTTTATAAATTTTATACTTTATATTAGTATCAATATTGATATTAATTATTTGGAATTTTTTCTTCTCGGGTTGAATATCAGAAAACTGATCCTTTTTTTTTTCAAGACGTCAATATAAGGAGAGTTTTTTTTTTCCCCATGGATACATCAAAATGATTAATTAGGGATCTCTCCCGAATTCAAGTTAATCAATAACATCGAACACTAGATAATTCTAATATCTAAAATGTTTACGGTATACAGTGTACTAGAGAACATTGTAGAAAAGACCCGCTTCTTTAAGAAAATTAGTTTGTTCCTGGGTTGTGGTGTTGTTGTTGCTATAACTGCAAACAAAGTAATCAAAACTTGTGATGGTGTGGGAATAAACAGGAAAGAGGAAGAATACTAATGAAATTGGCAGAGTTGATAGACCAAAATACAGAGGAACTAGCAGCACTGGATGCCATAGACGGTGGAAAACTGTACCAATGGTGTAAAACCGTTGAGATTCCTTCAGCAGCCAATATGCTGCGGTACTATGCAGGCGCTGCTGATAAAATCCATGGAGAGGTATTGAAGATGTCCAGACAGTTCCATGCTTATACTCTGCTCGAACCCATTGGCGTGGTGGGTCACATCATTCCTTGGAACCTCCCCACCGCTATGTTCTTCACCAAGGTTGCCCCTTCCTTGGCTGCCGGCTGCACCATGGTTGTCAAACCCGCCGAGCAAACTCCTCTCTCTGCTCTCTTCTGCGCCCATCTTGCTAAGCTTGTACATATATCTTTACTTTCTCATCTTCTCTAAACATGTCTTGTGATCAACACATTTCTGATATCTTCTGTACACCAGCATTATTTTGCTTGCTGTTTGTTTTCATAGGCTGGAGTACCAGATGGTGTGCTTAATGTGGTACCTGGGTTTGGTCCAATTGCTGGTGCTGCTATAAGCTCGCATATGGACATTGATAAGGTAACTAACATGTCAAGTATTCTGATCCATTTGAGATTTAAAGGGGGTTCGCGTGCTGCTGAACTTGCCTAGCTTGTTGGTTTGTTCTTGTAGGTTAGCTTCACTGGTTCAACACAAACAGGACGGGAAGTGATGCAGGCTGCGGCTAAGAGTAATTTGAAACAAGTTTCGCTTGAATTAGGAGGCAAATCACCCCTCATTATATTTGATGATGCTGATGTGGACAAAGCTGCGGAACTGGCACTCATAGGAGTCCTTTTTAACAAGGTCAAATAGCCTTCCAGATATATTAATCATGTTATTCCTCATGTGATTTGTGCCTTGTAAGTCACATTATTTCTTGGCTTGAGGTTTTTGCAGGGAGAAGTCTGTGTTGCAGGCTCCCGTGTTTTTGTTCAAGAAGGTATTTATGATGAGTTTGAGAAGAAGTTGGTGGAAAAGGCGAAAGCTTGGGTAGTTGGAGACCCTTTTGATCCTAACGTTCAGCAAGGTCCTCAGGTATAATAATTAAGCAAATTTATACATAAATATACTTTCACTAGCTCTGTGTGTGTGTGTGTGTGTGTGTGTGTGTGTGTGTGTCTATATCACATATATACATTGAACATCCTCATATATATACATACCTCGCATGAAACTGTAGGTCGACAAGAGGCAATACGAGAAGATATTGTCGTACATAGAACACGGAAAGAGAGAAGGGGCCACCCTGTTGACTGGGGGTAAAGCAGTGGGCAACAAGGGATACTACATTGAACCTACAATTTTCACAGACGTTAAGGTAATTAAGATCCAATAAGTACCCAACTTCATGTACAAGAGCTTCAAAATCTCAGGTGTGCTAAGCAAATACAAATAACTGATCACACAGGAGGACATGCTGATAGCACAAGATGAAATATTTGGGCCTGTGACGGCCCTAATGAAGTTCAAGTAAGTTGAAGTACTTGCTGATGTTAATTAGTCGTATCAAATTGATGAATATTGAAATGTGGAATGTGCATATAATTGAACAGAACGATGGAGGAAGCAATAAAGAGTGCGAACAATACGAGATATGGGTTAGCAGCAGGCATAGTGACGAAGAACATAGACATAGCAAACACAGTGTCGAGATCCATAAGAGCAGGAATCATTTGGATCAACTGCTATTTTGCATTTGGGAATGATGTCCCCTTTGGAGGGTATAAGATGAGTGGATTTGGGAAAGAACATGGAATGGAAGCCCTTCACAAGTATCTGCAAGTTAAATCTGTTGTCACTCCTATTTACAATTCTCCCTGGCTCTAAATATTTATCAATTCCTCAGTTATGGTTCTTCATTAGTGAGAGTACCTAGATTTTCATGAATAACACAGCATCATGTAATTAACTGTGTTTTGTAAATTCGAGATTATAAACCCTGGTAATTCTAATAAATAAGAAGCCCAGTTTGTCATTGATTATGCTCAAGCATGATTACGTGTTTATCACTGCTTTAGAAAACACCAAATGTGGCCTAATTAAAATATTTGCATTAAAATGGAGATAATAGGGTATATAAAAGCCAAAAAAAAACTTTTTGGTACTCAATGCTCTTTCTGTGGATATTTCTAGGGCATTTTTTTTAAATTTATGAATTATGAGGATGAATCCCCTTAATCGTTGAGATTTCATTTATTTAAAGGTCTGATCAATTATTCAACTTAGCTGTGATTAAAATTATGTGTTCTTTTGTCAATAAAGTAGAACACAAAATGAACACTATTTTTTTATCAAAAAAAAAAAGAACACTATTTCAATTGTGTGAGTAAATTAGGAAAAAAGTTGGCCTTTAAATAATTCACATTAAATATGAATAATTAGATTGCTCAGCTTTAACGAAACTGATGATGATGAAATAAGTTCTTGGCTTTTTGCTCCAAATATCAATAATTTAAACGTGTATTTAAAAAAAAATTCATAGTCGACCTTTGCAGAGACCAAATAGTCGATTTTTTTAAAGAAAAATTACAAGGATGGTGTATAGAATTTCATTTAGAGCTCAATTAACAGATATACATAAAAACAATTCAGGCCAATACAGAGAAAGTTACAAACATGTTGATACACATATATAAAGAAGAGTTTTTTAGGGGAAAAAAGAAAAGGGACACAAATATATAAGCTTGTTTAATATTATTTTTGGTTCCAATTATAAGATTTTATTTATAGACTATAAATAAATCGGTTCTAATTATAAGACTTTGTTTATAAATTATAAATAAAATTTTATAATTAAGACCGGAGGTAATAGTAATTTGCACAAACAATAATATTCCAAAAATGATTAAAGTCCAAATTGGCAATCAAAAGCATGCCGTGCATGTTTTACATGATCGTGACCTTTTTTTTTCCAGATAAAAAAAAAAAGGTGGAAAAAAAGACCGGATACGAGTATCACATGCTGCATGATCTCCAAATCAAAATTTCAGCCCAAAAGAACTATCAGGATTAGATTTAACGAAAAGAGCTAATTTCTCACAACATGACAAATCAATATTCAAATTTCTGTTAGGAGAGTTATCTACATTAAGTATCTGATAGTGTTTTAAATACAATTGTCTTCAATAAAAAGATATCTATGAGTATTTGGAAAAAAAAAAATTTCAGCCCAAAAGATAAGCACTGAACCAAGAATTTAAGACTTCCTTCTGATAGATGAAGACAGATTGATCATTCATTCTTACATTAACTCTTTGACTACGCTAAATAAAAAGAAAAAATAATCAAATTATTTATTTAATAACTTATTTTCCAGTATATATTGAAACGGTACACTCATTAGTCATAGTATAATTATGAGATTTAATTTAATTTGATCACAATATATACTTTTCATTGAAGATAAAAAAAAAAATAACATGTAACGAAAGGTTTTTGTTTGATGGCAGTATAGTACTTTTGTTTGGGGGAGAACATATGGGAGAGAAAGAGATGAGGGAAAGGCGTGATTTCCAAGAGAAGTGATAGAGACAGTCAGTCTGATGAGGAGGAAGCACATCGTGATAGGATGATGTTAGGATTAGAAGGGCATCCAAGTTGAGTTGGCCTGTATTCAATGCCGTTTGTCCGTTTGCAATAATTTGCATTTATTGACTCTCAAGTCTCAACCCTAGGGACTTGTTTTAATTAATGTTGAATATTTCAATGTTTAGCATAAAAATTAACTAATACAAGAAAAATATGAACACAAAATTAAAAGTTACTAAATCTCAAATCAAATTTGTTAATAAAACTATATTTAATGTTGATAATATTAAATTTATAAATAACAACAAATTTTTATTGAATTTTTTATTTGATGTTTAGTAATTTTTAATTTCTTTTTTTGGTCATTTTCTTTTAATATAATGTTATTTATGTGATTTTTGAAAAAAAATTAAACATAATTTAATTAAGTCAAAAGTCAAAAAATTGCTTTAACCGTAAAATGATTTTTGGGTAGAAGGTAAGTTGCCGTCAAAGTCATACAAAGCATAATGTTCTTTCGTCCAAAGTTTTTGTTTGATTTCAACTTCCAACTCACTTCTAAGGCTTTCTGATACTATCTCAAACGCGTACAGACTAGCGTACATAAGGTGGGCACGGGGCACTTAGGAAGTCATACTTTAATTTTGGGGTGTTTGGAATTAAGAAAAAATTACTTTCAAAAAATAGTTTTATATAAATCAAAATAAAACTCATTTTATATATTATGAATTACTCATAAAAATTATAATTTGATTTCTATTCAATTTTTTTTTTTTAAAGTGAGGTGCCTTTGCGTTTGAGGGTGGAGACTATAATGGAAGGATGCAAGACAAAACAAGTTGAACATTTTTGGGTAACAAAAATAGGGAATCCAAATAAAGGAGAGAGAGGTTGACAATAAATGAATAAATGAAAGAGAGGAAAGCGCCCGGTTTGGGATAATGGGGGTGTCCATGCTTCACACTAGCCGCCCTACCCAATCAATCTCGTCGTGGTCCTGCTTCACCTCCCATCGCAATTACCATGAGAAATGATGCCACAACAGTAACACTTGCACTTTTTAATCTTAATTTTCTATTAACTCGCTGTTATACAATATAAGATTAAAGTGTGTGTGGCATATTGAACTATTTTCTCAAGTACACGCAGTGTCTTAAAGTAATTTTTAGTGCATCTAATGTTTAAAACTAATTAAAACGGTGTGTTTATGTCTCAGACTAACATAAAATGTTATCTTTGATTGTTAGCTTGCTAACTCAGCTTAAAGTTGATTCAAAAATCCTACATGGTAGACACATAAGCAGACACTATGCTCGCCGACAGCAATCCCGATGGGCTCCCCATGAAGCTATTTACAGACCAAAATAGGCTCAAATCATGCAAAAACAGTTGCGTTTCAGCGACCAGTGAGAAATAATCCAGTGATATCTGTCCTGAATTTGCCGGCATTGGTGACAATATTCCCGGGAACTAGCCCATTTCCAATCCTTCCAATTCAGCCATCGTGTCATTTCCGGTGCTCCGTAATCAATTCCTTCTCCAATGGGCTCGTCTTTTCTATCGAAGCCAGCTTCATCGCAAGTGAAATAGCTTCGAATTCAAATGCCTGCTCATCGCTAGAGTGTAGCCCAGTGAGAGCTGGACGACGTCCATGAAGTCACTGACGAGAACACGAATGACTCTAGGAGACAGGGAATAGATTATCACCGGTTGCCGCTGCTGGCCGAGGTCGTCAGGCGTGGGGCGAGGAGGTTGGTGAGCGGTAGCATGTGGTGGCAACGATGGTTTCTTGATTGTGTGAGATTCTTTGCTAACCCTAAGAGGAGGCGGGTGAGGCCCCTAGAGATGAAGCTGCTTCTTGGACGATGGTGGTATGCTTCCGCTGGAAAAATCCCCCGGTAAGTTCATATTTGATGGTTGATCAGATGTTTTTGTGTCTGCTATGTAGGATTTTTGGGCCAACTTTAAGCTGAATCAGCAAACTAATGGTCAAGATAACATTTCTGTTAGCCTAAAATATGAACGCACCGTTTTAATTAGTTTGAGACACTGGATGCACCAAAAATTACTTTAAAACACTGGACATATTTGGGAAAATAGTTTAGGGTGCTGGGCGTATTTTAACCCTACAATATACTCTCACTACTCTCATATATATAAATTCTAAATAGGAAAAATCATTTAAAAAAAAGACTGTAAAATTTGAAAAAGTACCGATAAGGGCCTATTCATAAAATTTTTTGTTAAAACCTATACTATTATTATCAAAACCCATAGTAATGTTGTTATGGGTCTCTATTTGCAATTTTTCAAATTTTACAGTCTCTTTTTACGATTTTTCCTTCTAAATAACCGAATCATGTTTAATAAATAAGTAACTAAAATTAGTTAAAAATAATAAATAGATTAAAAATAATTTTTAAATATTCTCTTATTTATTATGAGAGTAATCAAGAGAATAATAAATGAATAAATAATGAAAGAGAATTTATGGGGTAAGTATATGTCATTCTCTCCCTGTCTTTAAAATAGTTAACCACCTTTCTAATTAATGCTATTCATAGTCATTAAAAAATATAAAAGACTAAGGGGGTGTTTGGATAGAAACCAAACCATGGTTTCAGAAGTGCTTTTACGGATTACGAAGTAAATATGTGGAGGAGGTTATCTCGTTTTGCGGAAAAGTGTTTCTGAAACCTAGGTTTTGGTTTTACCAAACACCCCATAAATACAATTAATTAAGAGTAAAATTAAAAAAAGAGCATTAAATATTCAAATAAAACTTAAAACGAAACTTATTAATTGACCTAGCCCCTCTCTATAGAAGTGGAGCTTACATGTAGCAACGTGGCAAACGGAGGGGGTAATTATATCCGCGGAGTCATCATTGAATGACAAAGAATAAGCAAAACAACCATGCGTATTTCAAAGGGTCAAGTCTTTTATAATTCGTAAACGGTCAAAAGAACTTATGAAGAAGTGCCAAACACGGAAGGAGGAGTCCGCAGAGGGAAGCGGGAGTCCCCACAGGGAAGAAAGGTGCGGACGAAAAGGCAATTTCCCCTTCATTTTGGCTTCCAAGTTGCCATATATGTATGCACTTTTACGTCCCCCCCCCCCCCCGGGTCTCTCCATTCTGTAATTCGTCTCTTCCGCTCTTCTAACTCTCTCTCTCTCTCTCTCTCTACCTCATGGCTTCAGACCTCTTCAACGGCCGCCTCGAGGACGTCAAGTTCACCCAGCTCTTCGTCAATGGCAGCTTCGTTGATTCCCTTTCTGGTAATTCCTCATGCCTCTCCTCTTCCTTCTCTCTCTCTCTCTCTCACTCACTCATAACAAATCAGTGCCTCTCACCTTAGATTGTTGATTCCTGCTCCCTCATATCTTCATCAATCCAAAACTAACAGGAAAGACGTTCCAGACAATAGATCCCAGAACAGGGGATGTCATCGCCGCCGTCGCCGAAGGCACCAAGGAGGATGTTGACGCAGCCGTTCAAGCTGCCCGTCACGCCTTTGACTCCGGTCCCTGGCCTCGCTTCCCCGGTTCTGTATGTTCCTCTCCTCTCCCGGCCCCCCGCTCAATGTTCTTCATCATATATTATAATTAAATTAAATTAAATTAAATCACACACACACGGAAATTTGTTTCACATAATCCATCTAATCACGAAAAACGTTCACATCAGCCAGCAACGTGCACCCCACTTAAACTCGTCCTTGCATACTGACCATGTGACTTTTTTAGTAATTACATTACTTACCCGCTATTACAACAGTAATTTTCTTCCCCACTAACCCATCTTATGATTACATCAGCACACAACCTTTGTAATTCTTCTTATTTTTGTATTATCTTCTAAAATTCATTATTTTCCAAAAACAATGATAAATAATTGCGATGGAATATATGTTGGAAAAAACATAGATCCCATCATGACATAAATTAGTATACATGTTCTTAACGGAAGAGCTATTCAATTAATTTGAGTACGTCCAAAAATTTAATAAACTATTTAATTTTATCAAATGTGACATGACCTCTTCAAGATATCCATAAATAAAATTATATTATATATCTTTTTATAAGTTAAACAAGTTATTAGTTTGAAAAAATGATACATATAAGAAATAAAGTAAGTTAAGATTTTGCTGATAAAAGAAATAGATTAAGATTTTATATTTAGAATAAAAATCAAAATATATTTAGTATTAGAAAAATATTTCCTTTTCCTGTCCTCTTTTAGCCACATAAAATTGTCAAATTATATGACCTAGCAGTACATTGTAGAAAATCAATCTTCACTTTAATTTTCTGCGAGACGTGGAATAGTAAGTAATCACAGACCACGCAAATTTGTTTAAGACAAAACCTTGAACCGTACCAAAACTTGTGTCCTTTTCTATTCTTTTTTGTCCTTTGTATATACACGTAGAATGAGTTGTCCTCCACGGCTCCTCTTCACTGTCATAAACCATATCAATGTTAATGTAGTATCTGATAAAATATCGGTCTTAAATATAAAATTTTTTTTATAGTGTAACTATAAAAGGTATTTTATATTTAAGATTGAAGGAATATTATAAATAAGATTTTACAATTAGGAATAGAATTAGTATAACAAATTAAGTTATTAATAAGTCGCATATATTACAACTCAACTTAGATGTTATATAATAACTTTTTTGCCGGTGTATAACACATAACTGTAATTAATAACTGTTGTTAATTTTATTACTCTACTACCTTTTATATTCTCTGGTTGAATTTGAGAAAATAATGATAATAGTTAAATTTTAAAGACAACCATATGCCGACTCAAAAAAGAATTCAACAGGTACAGGTTTGGCTTTTCCAAGAGGCAAGCACCGCCCTATTTCATAATTATATTTTGGAAAAAAATAGATTTTTTGACAAAATCAAGGACACAACTCTATTTTCTTAATATTTATAACTTTTCTCCCCCACAACATTTTTGAGACCTAATTGCCATTAGATATATTTGGTTTTGATCCGAGTGTCATCCATAATGAATAATATGATTGTATGTAAAGATATTTTTTTTTAGCCATTATTTTATTTCATATAATTAATTGCATCCGTAAGATATTCAGATCTTCTGACATCGACCTCCTGCCAACAGCGAAAATAACTTAAACCGATTCTTCAGCATCAACGTGACATTTATTTAATTACTAGTCCAGTCAAGCACAACCTTAATTTGTTCGTGAGCTTTTGATATTTTTGCCTGTAATGATGTGTCTTGTTTTTAAAATGTTGTTATTTAATGCAATTTAATTATAAACTCATTCTTAAATATAAATTTCTTATATAGTAAGAGTCTTATATTTAGAGTCGGAAGAGTATAAGATAAAAAAGAACACATGGTCATGTGTAACCGAAAAACATGATATAATATATATAAGAAATTTGAATAAGTTCTTTTTGTTTGGCTTTTATATGAGAAGTCTTTTTCTTTTTTTTTCAAAGGGCATAAACAGACGCAGTCCATCAGCTTTCAATTTCGGAATTTGTGTAAAGATGATATTAATGAGTTCCGAAAGTTTTATCCCTCGTTTGGGATCGAATTTTGTTTAAATTCAAATGAAATGGTAAATATCAAATACTAGATGATTTCAACAACACACGATGTCTATCATTGGACAATATGATGTCACAAATTCAATAAGAAAATATAACCCAGTTCTTTTCGAAGGACACACATCTGCGCACGTACGTTCATGGAAAATTAGAATGAAGTTACTTATATGGTGGGTTTTGTTGCCGTAACTGCAATTAAATAAAACGTGTGATGGTGTGGGGATATTAATTCAGGAGAGAGGAAGAATATTGATGAAATTGGCAGACCTGATAGACCAAAATGCGGAAGAACTAGCAGCACTAGACGCCATAGACGCGGGAAAGCTGTACCGGTGGAGTAAGACGGAGATTTCTTCAGTCGCAAATATGCTACGTTACTATGCGGGTGCTGCGGATAAAATCCATGGAGAGGTATTGAAGATGTCAAGAGAGTTCCACGCCTACACTCTGCTCGAACCCATTGGTGTGGTGGGTCACATCATTCCCTGGAACTTCCCCAGCACCATGTTCTTCGCCAAGGTCAGCCCTTCCTTGGCCGCCGGCTGCACCATGGTCGTCAAACCCGCCGAGCAAACTCCTCTCTCTGCTCTCTTCTACGCTCACCTCGCTAAGCTGGTATATATGCTCGCAGTTTCTCTTCTTTAAACATGTGTTATCATTTATCAACACATTGATATTGTGCTGCTGTGTATTTTTAGTTTGTTTGTGGCTTCTTCTTCGCTGAAACTGGATTTTGCTTGTTTGTTTTGATAGGCTGGAATACCAGATGGTGTGCTTAATGTAATAACTGGCTTTGGCCCAACGGCTGGCGCTGCTATAAGCTCGCATATGGACATTGATAAGGTACGTATACGTACGTAGTTGGCAAGTCAAATATTCAGGAGTTTTACAGGATTGAGATATTGAAAAGGGCTTCCTGCTGATGAACTTGGGTACTTGGTGTGTATTATTAAAGGTTAGCTTTACTGGTTCAACACAAGTAGGACGGGAGGTGATGCAGGCTGCGGCTAAGAGTAATTTGAAACAAGTTTCACTAGAATTAGGAGGCAAATCACCCATCATTATATTTGATGATGCTGATGTGGACAAAGCTGTCGAGCTTGCACTCATTGGAGTCCTCTATAACAAGGTCAAATTGCCTTCCAGAAATTAATCATCTTCCTTTAATGATCATAGCTATTAACTATAAGTACCGTGTTTTGGCTTGCGGTTTCAGGGAGAAATCTGTGCTGCAGGCTCTCGTGTGTTTGTTCAAGAAGGCATATATGATGAGTTTGAGAAGAAGCTGGTGCAGAAGGCAAAAGCTTGGGCAGTTGGAGACCCTTTTGATCCTAATGTTCAGCAAGGTCCTCAGGTAATTAATAAGCACGAGTACTATATATCAATATATATGCATAATTAATAGCATATTGATCAATCATATATCCTCCTACGTATTCATGCTTGCTGATATTTTTTTGGTTAAAACAACAACAATAGGTAGATAAGAAGCAATTTGAAAAAATTTTATCATACATAGAGCATGGAAAGAGAGAAGGAGCCACCTTGCTGACTGGGGGTAAGGCAGTGGGCAATCGGGGATACTACATAGAACCTACAGTGTTCATTAATGTTGAGGTAAGTTCCAAGTATCCAAATTCACCAGAGCTTCGATTCTGGTGTGTTTATAATAATAACACATTCGGTATTCTCAATCCAGGAGGACATGGTGATAGCACAAGATGAAATATTTGGGCCTGTCATGGTGCTAATGAAGTTCAAGTAAGTTAAAATACTGGCTATTCATCTTTATGATGTCAATAATATAACCAGTCGTATAAAATTGACGATTACTAAAATGTGGAATATATATATGTAATTTGACAGAACGATGGAGGAGGCAATAAAGAGTGCGAACAACACAAAATATGGGTTAGCAGCAGGCATAGTGACGAAGAATATTGATATAGCAAACACAGTGTCGAGATCCATAAGAGCAGGAACCATTTGGATCAACTGCTATTTTGCATTTGGGGATGATGTTCCTTTCGGAGGGTACAAGATGAGTGGATTTGGGAAAGAACATGGAATGGAAGCCGTTCACAAGTATCTCCAAGTTAAGTCTGTTGTCACTCCCATTTACAATTCTCCATGGCTCTGAATGGCTCCCTGTAGCTATGAGGATTTTCAATTACATATGAGGGCTTTTGCATTTTCATGAGTAGGACACAATCATGTCATACCTTGTAAATGGAGGATTCCGCACTAAATTTTAGAAGCCTTGAATAGACTTTAAACTTGTCAAAGCCTATACCTTATTCTTACAACAACTGTGTCCGAAGTTATATTCCTCTCGTTTTTTTTTTTTTAACTTCTCTTGAGTTAACCTTATTAAATTTGGGGTTATTCGAATTTAGAGTATCTCAATAGTTGAAACACTTAAGTTATGTGCGAAGTCTAAAAAGTAAGAGGTAAAAAACATACTACCTTCGGTCCTAATTATAAGAGCTAGTTAACTGATTTGAGAACATTAAAAAAAGAAGTTAAGTTAGTTATTTGTAATAAATAGATATTGTCTTTTCAAAAATATCCTTACTAATCAAGTATGTTGGCTAAAACTATAATTATTAGAAGGACTATCTTGAAAAAAATTGAGTAAATGTAAAAGACAAAATGGATTGGAGTCTTATATTTAGGACCAACATAAAAGTCAAACGGAATCTTATATTAAGGACTGGAAGTAGTAATACGTAAACAGAGGAAGAAAAAATAAAATCGAAAGTCTTGTCTTCATATACTCTTTTGCTTTTCAGTCAGTCTCCACGTATCCAACCAAAGGGAGACGTATAAGTAATTGCAGCATTTTATCCATTTTTGGTAATCCCATCATTAATTTCAATTGGAAAGACAAGTCAAACGGTCAAAATGTAGCATTTCAAATGAGAGGAGGGCGGATCACCAAAAAAACAAAAGAGATCTAGAGAGAAAGAGAGAGTAAATAATTACGCAGCGATTTTTTTTTTTTTTGGGGGACAATTACGGTGATTTTAAGCAACCATTTCTTTTATTGGAATGTTCACTGTAGTGAGAATAATCCTCATGCGGTATTTGACATTTTTAATTTGCAACCCTACTAAATTCCACAAGGTTACCCCACAAATGAATTTTATGAAACCAAAAAAATAAAAAACGAATTGGGAGACAACGTTGTCAACTTGCCATGCATAACCGTTTTTCAAAAGAGACAGTTTCAGAAAACTAGCGAGCTCCAATGGCATCCGGAGAAGAAGATAGGGACAAGCGAAGAGGTTCGACCAAATTCAAAAGAAAAGAGTTGGGAGTGTCTTGCATGCTAAGCACCGAAGTTGGAGCCGTGCTGGCTCTCGTCCGTCGCCCCCCAGATTTCAATTCCCCCTACCTTCCCGCCGACGACAATTACGAATCCGCCTCCGTCAATTCCCTCCGATCACTCCGATCCCTCATCTTCACCCTCCACCAGGAATGGCGCACCGTCGACCCCTCCATCTACCTCACCCCCTTTCTCGAAGTCATCCAAGCCGACGATGTCCCCGCGTCCGCCACGTCCGTCGCCCTGTCCTCCGTCCTCAAGATCCTCAAACTCGGCATCTTCGACGAACGCACCCCTGGTGCCAAAGACGCCCTTGACGCCGTCGCCAATGGCATCACCTGCTGCCGACTCGAGAAAACGGACCCTGTCTCGGAAGACGCTGTCATGATGAGGATCCTTCAAGTCCTAACAGCCATAATGAGCCACAGGGCCTCGCTCTTGTTCTCGGACCAAGCGGTTTGTACCATCGTCAACACATGCTTCCAGGTGGTTCAGCAGTCTGCGAACAGAGGCGACTTGCTTCAGCGAACAGCGAGGTACACAATGCACGAGCTTATTCAGATTGTGTTTTCGAGGCTGGCTCAGATCGAGGTGAAGGATGGGGAAGAGAGTTCGGAATCGGATACGGATGATGTTGGGGTTTTGGAATCTGGGTACGGAGTTCGTTGTGCCATAGATATCTTTCATTTCCTGTGCTCTCTGTTGAATGTGATGGAGGTGATCGAAACAGAGGGCCCCAATGCTCACTCTGTTGATGAAGATGTTCAGATTTTCTCGCTGATTTTGATCAATTCGGCCATTGAATTGAGCGGAGATGCCATAGGGAAGCATCCCAGGCTCATGAGGATGATCCAAGACGATCTCTTCCACCATTTGATTTATTATGGCACGTGGTCTAGCTCCCTTGTCTTGTCCATGATTTGCAGTACCGTTTTGAATGCATATCACTTTTTGAGAAGGTTAGATTTCTCAGGAAACTAAGAAGCATGTATACTTCTGCTATTAAGTTCTCTGAAGCATGAATCATGATGGCTGGGCATATGCTGAGTAAATTGTTAGTGTGCTTGGAAACGAAAGTTTATTATTATATGTATCATGTAATCATTGCATGTTTAAGAAACTTGTATTTTGTTTTTGCAGTTTCCTTCGCCTGCAACTAGAAGCCTTCTTTGGATACGTGCTTCTGAGAGTGGCAGCTTTAGCGAACACAGTTCAACTCCAAGAAGTTGCAGTTGAAGGGATAATAAATTTTTGCAGGCAACCCACGTTTATTGCTGAAGCTTACGCAAACTATGACTGTGATCCATTTTGCCGGAATGTGTTTGAAGATATTGGAAAATTGCTGTGCAAGCACTCATTTGCCGGGAACGGTCCTTTGACCTCTTTGCAAATCCAAGCCTTTGAAGGATTAGTCATTATAATTCACAATATCGCAGATAATATCGACAAGGAAGATGAGTCCTCCCCTTTAGGTCCCTACTCAAATCATATCACAGAGTACTCACCCTTTTGGGAGGAGAAAGAGAAGGATGGTAAGGACTTGGAAGCTTGGGTGGAACATGTACGTACAAGGAAATTGCAGAAGAGGAAAATGTTAATTGCAGGAAACCATTATATCAGAGATGACAAGAAGGGCCTCGAGTACTTAAAACATTCTCAATTAATCTCTGATCCTCCTGATCCTAAGGCGTTTGCTTTCTTCTTTCGCTACACTCCTGGTCTGGACAAGAACCTGATAGGAGAATATCTAGGAGACCCAGATGATTTCCACCTCCAAGTTCTTAGAGAATTTGCAGCCACCTTTTATTTCACTGGCATGGCCCTTGACACCGCACTGAGGTTCTATCTTGAAACTTTTCGATTGCCCGGAGAATCTCAAAAGATTCAACGTGTTCTTGAAGCATTCTCAGAGAGATTCTATGATCAACAATCTGCAGACATTTTTGCTAGCAAGGACACTGTTCTTATTCTAAGCTACTCCCTCATCATGCTTAATACGGATCAACACAACCCCCAAGTGAAGAAGAAGATGACGGAAGAGGATTTCATAAAGAACAACAGAGCTATCAATGAAGGGCAGGATCTACCCAGAGAGTTCCTCTCAGAGCTGTATCATTCTATTCTGTCGAACCCACTTCTTGCTCCAACAAGTACAAATGTAGACATGAACCCCAGCAAGTGGATTCAGCTCATAAACCGATCCAAAGTGGTTCAACCTTTCATCCAGTGTGATTTTGATCGCAGGATGTGCAGAGATATGTTTGCTTGCATTGCAGGTCCAGCAGTGGCTGCTCTTTCTACATTCTTTGAGCATGCTGATGAAGATGATTTGCTTCATGAGTGCATCGAAGGGTTATTCTCAGTGGCTAGGATTGCTCAGTATGGACTAGAGGACACTCTAGACGAGCTCATATCATCATTCTGCAAATTCACTACACTTTTAAACCCTTATGCCTCCACTGATGAGATATTGTACTTGTTCAACAATGATTTGAAGCCTAGAATGGCAACAGTTGCTGTTTTCACTGTTGCAAACAACTTTGGAGACTCAATCAGAGGTGGTTGGAAGAACATTATAGACTGCTTGCTGAAACTCAAGAAGTTAAAGTTACTTCCTCAATCTGTCATTGATTTTGAGCTTACCCCAACACAATCAGCGGATGGATCAGGTGTTGTTTTCCGTGTTCGTAATTCAAAATTAGGAAGCCGACAGGTTTCTAACATAGCTAGTCACTCCTCATTTTCGTCGCAAGATGGTAAGGACAATTTGATCATTGGCTCTGAATTTGAACAGAATGTGAACATGATCAAACAATGTCGCATTGGTGCCATTTTCAGTAAAAGCTCGAACATCCCTGAAGAATCTCTACATAATCTTGGACGATCTTTGATATTTGCAGCTGCTGGAAAAGGCCAGAAATTTAACACGCCCATTGAAGAAGAAGAAACTGTTGGGTTTTGCTGGGATTTGATTACGGCAATCACATTAGTCAATGTTCACAGATTCCAAGCATTTTGGCCTCAGTTCCATGAGTATCTCCTGACAGTTGCTCAATTTCCCATCTTCTCCCCTATCCCTTTCGCAGAAAAAGCCACTGCAGCCCTTTGCAGGATCTCTCTGAGGCTTTTTTCTTCACCGCAGGCGGATAAATTCCCAGAAGAGCTTATTTTCAAGTCAATAAATCTAATGTGGATGCTTGATAAAGAAATTCTTGAAACCTGCGGCGGGGTCATATCACAATCAGTTATCCAATTAGTCTCCGAGTACCCTGGAAATTTGCAGACACATCTTGGGTGGAAGACGGCTTTACATTTGTTATCAATCACTGGCAGGCACCCTGAAACCTATGATCAAAGTTCTGAGGCCTTGATCACATTAATGTCTGATGGGGCAAATTTTTCACGAATTAATTATTCATACTGTGTAGATTGCGCTTTTAGCTTTATCGCACTTAGGAACAGTCCTCTAGAGAAGAATCTCAAGATTCTGGATCTGCTATCCGAGTCAGTGAATTTGTTGATTCAGTGGCAGAAAAATCAGTATTCAGATCCAGGAAGTAATTCCAGTGGAGTAAGCAATAACAGTAGCTCTTCTTTGGATGAAAATCCAAGAGGTGGATCATCAAATTTCACCATGAATCTATTTGTGAAACTAGGAGAGGCATTTAAAAAGACGAGCCTAGCTAGGCGAGAGGAGATAAGGAACTATGCAGTTCAATCTCTACGCAAGAGTTTTGATCTGGCTGACGAGCTGCCATTCACTTCAGCAAATTATATAAGCTGTCTCAACCTAGTGATATTTGCAATGGTGGATGATCTTCATGAGAAGATGTTGGAATACTCAAGGAGGGAGAACTCAGAGAGGGAGATGAGAAGTATGGAAGGTACACTGAAGATTTCAATGGAGCTAATGACAGATGTGTACTTGCAGTTCTTGAAACCATTATCTGAGAGTAGTGGATTTCGAACGTTCTGGTTGGGAATTCTGAGAAGAATGGATACTTGCATGAAAGCTGACTTGGGACAATATGGTGCATCAACTGTGCAAGATTTGGTCCCGGACTTGCTGAGGAGGATCATCACGAGAATGAAAGAGAAGGAGATCTTAGTGCAAAGAGAAGGTGATGATCTGTGGGAAATAACATACTTTCAGATACAGTGGATTGCTCCTGCCCTTAAAGATGAGCTTTTTCCTGATTAACACCACATCTTGTTTATTAAATCAAGATTTTCTTTTTTGGCGCCAATTTCATTATTCTGCAGAATTTTAGACGATGTTTTTTTGTTGTTCGTATTTCTACTTGTCGAAATACTCACAATAACAGAGTTTAGATTGTTACATGTATTTTCCAGACACAGATAAAAATGCAATACAATCTCATATTCCATGTAAAAGCGCCAGTTTACTCTAATTACTTCTAAAGAAATCATAACCTTGTTATTATTTTTCGGTGCATCTTAAAAATATTCTTTAAAAAACCCTATAACTTGATGTTTGCAAAAGTATCCTAAAAAAAAAAAAAATCTAATGACGAGGCAACTCCAAGTCAAATTGATCTGCGTCATTAATATTCAAAATCACGTTAAATATTTTTTAACTATTTTATATCTAAATTTATTTTTCAATTATATTATCCAAGTGAGTTTCAATTTGTTAAATTGATTCTTTTACAAACATCTAAATCAGGTTACACTAATTAATTTTTATCCCCACTTCAATTTGCCAGAAGTCAATTCAAATAAAAGTTATTTTTACTAGTGTTAATCCAAACAAGCCCCAATGAGCAAGCGTTAACGAATTGAATATGGAGTAAGGTCCAATTGAGCCCAAATAGAATTACTGAGTTTCAACCCAAAACAAAGAAAATCAGACCCGATTGGGCTTGGGCTTCGAAATGGGTTTGATCGTCAGCCTGATCTCTTTTTGTCTTTTTTGGTGTACCTGCTTGATCTCACTTTAGAATCACTCCAATTTTTTTTTTTCAAAAAAAGAATGCTTAAATGAGAGTCCCGCATTGTTTTTTCGTTTTTGCTATTTTTTCTGATTTAAAACGAAAGGATATGAGCTTCTTAGTTTTTTGTTTTTGTCATATTTAGAAAATTTTGAATGAACAACAGACATTGGTCTTGGTAAAAAGGGGTACGAGAATCTCAAATCTGAGAGCTCCAATTAGATTTGACCATTATGCAAAATTTAACTCAATTATACTATAAATATATACTACCTCTTGTCGTAATTATAAGACTTTAATTGTAGATTATAAACGAGGTCTTATAATTAGGATCGGAGTAATATCATATAACTATTAAAAAAAGAAATTTTTATTTAAAATTTAAATATATATTATACAACACAAATTTTAAACTTTCTAGTAGAGTTGCAGGTTATTTCGACCAAGCTTGTGATGGTCGTGAATATCTTACGCTAGATTTTGTTTTCCAACAACTTTTGTTTACGAGCAATCATATAAATATATATATATATATATATATATATATATATGTAGAAGCAAGCCCATACGGATAGATACAACTCGGATATGTTTTCCTCCTCCAGCCTCAGCCAATAGCTAGCTAACTACAAGCTTAGGATATGTTTGGATTGACGTTAGGTAAAACTAACTTCTAGTCTAACTGATTTTTGTAACTGAAGTTAGAGTAAAAATCAGTTAGTGTAATGTGATTTATGTTTGGGTATGTGCTTATAAAAAGTCAGTTAAAAAAGTTGAAAGTTGTTTGGATGATGAATAGAAAAGTTAGTTTAATTCTAAAATGATTGAAAAGGACATAGATTTTATTAAATAGTAGTGTTTGAAATTTTATATTTTTAATGTAATAATAGTTTAAAAAAATATGTAAAATTATTATGATAAAATATAAATAGTTTATTTGTGAAATTATAAAATAAAAATATTTGTTATGGAGAAAAATTTGAAAACATATTGTCGATAATTAATGAAATATACATAATGGACAAATATAAATATAAATTAAAATTCATTTAATCTCTAATTAAAGTAAATTAAATCACATAACTAATTAGATTGTAAGCTCTGCACAATTTTCCTATAAGTCAGTCAGAAAAGTTAATTCAGATTGCGTTGGATAAGTCAGTTAGAAAAGTTACTTTACCCTATAAGTCAGTTAGAATAGAAGTTCCATCCAAACAAGCTTTTGAGTCACAATAAGCCACAAACCTTAGTTTTACGCTTCCCCATGTGCTTTTATCATTTTCAACAGCAATCCAAACGAGCCTTTAATTTCGTTACACAAGCTAGAATCAAACTGATAAACAATAACTTTTTCCGTTGGCCAAAAAAAAAACAACTGTAGCATTCCTCCAGTCCTTAATATAGGACCCAATTGTTGAGTTGGTTTTGATCCTAAATATAAAACCCATTTTTCATATTTATCAAATTTCTCTAAATTACCCTATGGATATTTCCTCAACCATAATCAAGTAGAAAAGGGAGAGGGGGCATTAAGAAATATGATTATAGTGTTTTAGGAAAAATGTGTCACATTTCTTATAATTAGCTAACTTATCTAATTTCCTTAATATAATCAAAATAGTTAAATGGGTCTTACATTAAGGACCGGAGGAGTAATTTTTTTGCTTAAGAAATTGAATAATTGAGGACAACGCTCTGTTTAAATTATTTTTCCAGTTGTTGCATTCCACATTTTTCAGTCTCTCAATTAAATGGCTAGCAAAAGTAGAATATTATGATCAGGCTGAGGATGGAATGTATATATATCTCTCTGTTCGATCTCTCTGACCAAAGACTGAACACAACACCGCCGTGCGACGTACGTACTCATCTCACAATGAAAGCTCGATTTGGATGCAAGAATAGATGTCTAAGCCCATGGATGTCCCTTACATTAACTTGCTTTGAATTTGGTTCTTTGTGATTGCAAACATGTTTCTGCATCTTTCGGCACAAAGCTACTCTTATTATTGATTTTGGATTAGCTTATTGAATTAAAGATGATATTAGATGTAAGAAGAGTTTTGTCTTATTACACGTAAAACTAGAAAAATTAATCCAAGCACTCAAATTCCAAAATATCCAGACACACACACACACTATTTCTATAATTAATATAAGAGCATGTTTTATTTTTATTTTAATCCTAAATATAAGACCTCAGTCTATTTTATTTTTTATATTTACCTTTTTTTTCTAAGATGATTCTTGTAATAATGATAATTGTAACCAATACACTTGATTTAGGAAAGATAAAACTATTTATTACAAATAACTAACTTAACCAGTTTTTTTAATCTACTTAAATTAGTCAACTAGCTCTTATAGTAGCATTAAGGACTAGAAGTATTATTATAAATAACTAACTTAACTAATTTTCTTAATCTATCGTATTCAATTCTCACATCTACTACCACGACAGCTCTGAGTGAGAGATCATACTGTGAGCCATTTAAGTGGGGACATGCAAAAGGTGTAAGCTTTGTCAGAACCACCCATTATACCTTCTCCCCATCTTTAAGTTACTGACGAAACACGTAAGTACTGTGCAGTTAATGGCGGCATGAGACTCCACCTTCCTTCTTCGTCTTACCTTTTCCCTCTGTAACTTGCTGCGGAGTTAATGGCTGCATGGGATTGCACCGACTCCCCAATCATGAATGCGAAAGCAACATCACGCTAACCAGCATGTGGTAGAACTAAATCCATGATTCCAGTACCGTGTAACGTGTCTTCTGACACTGCAATAAAAAACCACTCCCCACTTTTTATCTCTGCATTGATTAAATCCCGCGTACAGTATATATCCTCAAGTTAACTTTCCGGTAGTTTGGGTAAAACCGATCGATGGCCACCTAATATGGATTTAAGAGGATATATAGTACTGTTTGAGATGGTGGATCTAAGCTAAATCCCACGACTAGCTTGTGAATAACTTGAATTTCCAAACTAAAGTGCAAGCTTATATCTAATTCATTTTTTATTTCACTGTAAAGCTAACGTATATGGGTTGTGCGTGTGTGTGTAGTATATCCTTTCACTCTGACGACAAAAAACAGTCACTTTGCTTTGGTTCATTTTTCATTTTTCATTGCAGACAAATATAAACATGTCACATTAGTTTAAAATAATATATAAAGCAAGATGAAATATATAGGCGAACGGAATCTAGCTATTTCTTAACAGCAGGAAATTTAACAGACTATGTTAGAATTTAAAAATTCGGAAAAAATGCGAATGATAATTTGGAATTCAATTGAATTTTCGCACTTATTACTAAATTGTTTTACATTTTTGTTTCCTTCACATAACCTGCAACTATATATATGCGTGCATGCCAAGTGAATGTCTCATGCAGTGACTGAACTTTTCTATTCAGTAGTTTACAACTGAAATATAGGTGATGGGGAGGAAGCTGACTTATCTGCTTCTGGTGGGTCTGTGCTTGGTGGTGGGAATATCCCAACACGCAGATGCAAGGAACTTGAAGAAGGCGAAACATCACGAAGATGTGAAGAAGCCGGAGTCCTTTCTCGGGGATAGCTCCGGAGGGATCGGCGGTTTAGGCGGACTTGGAGGAGGGGAGGAGGAGGGGGGGATTTGATAATGGCGGAGGACTGGGAGGAGGAGTCGGATCGGGTTATGGGGGAGGCTTAGGAGGAGGCATATTCAAGGGAATTGGAGGGTATGGCGGAATCGGAGGAGGAATTTACAAGGGAATTGGCGGAGGACTCGGTGGAGGAATTGGTGCCGTCGGCGGAGTCGGCGGTGTTATTGGAGGTATGAAGCACGTTGACGCAAATAACAAGCAGCCATGAAACTTATCAGGTTTAGGCTAATATTAGTATCTTCTTAATAATATTCTGCACCCGCAGGGTAAATTAAGTTTGGATTTTGATGTTGTATCTCCAATTCTGCTATAGTTTGTGTCGTCCCAGCACGCAGCCCCTAATTCCTCAAATAATGTGAACAAAAAGAAAACAACAAAAATGGATCTTACTGTTTTCATCAACGATCTCGTTCACATATAGCTTGTTGAGATATATAGAAATGATGTGTTGCTTATGACTTCGTAAAAGAAGATTATCTTCTCTATAAGTTCACGTACGTTGACGCCTTTGCAATTCTTTATTTTAAGATGAAATGTTATGTCTGGTTTTTGAGAGTGTCTTTTCATTCGTTTTTATAACTAGTATTTGACTTTTGTGACATACACTTGTCCAAATATGGGAATATGGGTAATTGGTTAGTTCGATGGATAGCACTTCAAATATTTTCTCATTTGAATGCAGCACTAGTCCAAAGTATTTTTTTAACTTGGTATTAGATGTATCAAAAAATATTTTTTAG